ACACCCAAACGTCGGACGGACAGACGGACAGACGGACGGACTCAGAGCAGCAGTGGGCAGGGGGCGGGCAGGGCTGAAGGTCCGTTCACAGCGAGGCCCCTCTTGGGGCTGGGCGTAAGGGGAGTCTTACTTCCTTGCTGTGCCCACCCTGCCTTTCTGGGCAGCAGGGTGGGGCTGTCCCAGGTCACCTAGAGAGGCTTGCCTGAACTCTGAGCCGGAGGCCTGAGCCCTCAGACCCTGCAGAGTAGCTGGGCTCCCGGCCGCTCCTTGAGATGGGGGCCTGGGTCCTTTAACTCCAGCTCTCCCGCCAGCATGGGGTTCAATGACCATCCTCCCTTGCCTATTCCCAGGGTCTGAGGACTGTCACCCCCTCCAGTTCCCAGGGACAGTGATGAGGACCATGAAAACAGATTTCTGCTAGGTCTTCCAGGTCCTGGCGCTTCTGCCCAGCAGGGCTGAGGGCACGCAATGCGCTGCCCAGCTTTGAGCCCAAGTAGGCGAGGAGGGACTGCCTGGGGGCTGGAGTCTCAGCAGGTGTGTGTGGGGGGCCGGGACCTTTGCTCCTCCATGCGGCCTCCACCCTGAACTCTCAGCAGCAGCTCCAGGAGCTCCTGCCCTCCCGGGGGGAGTGGCGGCTCTGACCGCTGGGCTTCCATCCGCTGGCACTGGAGGGGTGAGAAGGGCGTAGGTGAGGGGCCTGAGAGGAGCCAGGGCTGGTGCAGGGGTGTATAGGAACACTGGGATGGGATGGGGGTAGGGGCTGCTGATGGGGCAGATGCCCAGAAGAGGGGCGGGCCCAGAAAACAGGGCAGAGACCAGGAGGCCTGGGCATCTCACCTGGTGGCTCAGGATGGTGCTGTAGAGCTGCTCCCTGTCCTCCAGAGGCCGGGGTGGGGCAGGAGCCAGGCCTGGGGGCTTTGGAGGGGCACAGAAGGTGGCCCTCTGCTCCTCTAGGCGGCGGGACTGGGCCTCAGCCACCAGGTCCAGAAGGAGCTCAGTCTGCAGGGAGATCAGGGAGGCCGAGCGGGGTCCCAGGGCTGGGGAGAGGAGGGGAGCTCACAGACCCGGAGAAGTTGCAGACCAGAGCAGTGGGGCGTGGGGTAGGAGCTCTGGGTCAGAGCAGAGGGGCTGAGAGAGGGTGCCCAGAGGAGGGGGGAGAGGGCTCATGATGGCCCACACCTTGACGTGGTGTTGGGATGTGGGCACCAGGGGTGGGGGCTCCCTCGTGAGTGGGGGTACCTGTATGGCGGGCCCCCGGAGGAGGAGGGGACGGAGGAGCAGATCGCCAAGGCCGAGTGGTGGAGTTCAGAGGGGGCCAGCCCTGCTCATCCCGAGAGGGGCCCTGTGCCAACAGATGTCCGTTCCAGTGACGCGGGGTACGTGGAAGGAGTGGGGTGGGCAGGGGGCTAGGGCAGGGCCGTGTCCTCTGCATCTGTTCTTGCCTCCATGTGCCCAGGGTTCCCAGGTCCTGTATCCACTGGGACTCGTTCTCTACCCCGAGTTCTGTCACCTCCCTCACCTCCCGGTGCCAGCCTCCCCACCGGTGCCCGGTGCCCGGCTCACCTCACCATCCTCTTCTTCCTGCGGTCTCTCGGCCTCCATCCCCTGGAGGGAGAAGCTGAGGGGGAAGGGTAGCTGGGATTTGGGAGGAGGGCCGGAACCTTGGGTTCCTGAGGGCAGTGGGGGCTGGAAGGGGTGGGGGTGAGCTGGGGGCTGGATGTCTGGGTACTGAGCAGGAAGCTGGGTTCCTGGTCAGCCCCCCCACGGGCCCCGCCCATCCCTGTCAACTTCCTCCATTCTCTTTTCCCACCCAGCTGGGTTGACCTCTCTCGCCCCAGGGGAGCATGGGGACTGGGAAAAACTCCTCTCCTTGCAGAAGTGGAGTGGGGTCACGGCGGGAAGGACTCCTGGACTTGTCATCTCCAGAGCTTCGGGCGGACCCCAACCCCCAGTTCTGCTCCCTCCACCCCTACCTCCCCTTCAGCTGTCAACACAGGAACTAGCTACACAGGAAGTGGTTTCACTCCTTAGAATCCCCCTCCCCCTCCCCCAGGTCCTTTCCTTCCCTGAGAGAGACCCTAATGTAGGATTTGGGCCTCCCCAGCTTCCTTCAGACTTGGGGACTGGGAGGGCCATGGTTCCATTGGCAGTGGGGACTCAGACCCAGGGATATCCGCTCTCAAATGTGTACATACCACCCTAGCCCTGGGTCCAACACACAGTCAGTCTTCAGTAAGTTGTGTTGAATCATTATCCCTGCCCGCGAGGGACCTGGTCCTGCCACCGTTTGGCAAACAGTGCTTCTAATAAAGTACGGTTTTAACACCAACCTGATAGCGTTGAGGTGAGGATCAACTGTAATAGAGCACTTGGTGCATAGCAAATGCTCAGTAAATGATGGTTGGTATTACTGGCTTTCAAAGTGCTTCACGTCTCCGTGTGTCGGGCTTGTCATCATGGAAGAGGTGTGTCACCATGTCGCTGAGAGGTGGGTGAAGTTGAAGATGCTCTCTCCATTTTCTACTTGACCGAAGGCCTTAGCCATCTCCGAAGTGCCCGCAACTAGAGTGTATGCGCTGTATATGGCCTAGGGTGTGTATGAGTTCTCCCAGTGCCTTCGGGTGATACCCTAAGTTACCATGGGACCCCCAAGTCTACAATTCGGGCTTTTTTTTTGGAGAGGTTTTCGTGCGCTCGCCAGACAGAGACATAGAGACAGAAAGCGAGAAATCACCCCCCAGAGGGGATGGTCATGTTGCAATCCCTTCTCCTCCATTCTCCTCTCGGGATCTTGGGCACACACGCACACGCGCCCGGCGTGAGTTTTAAGCCACCGGGTCCAGGACGCCAACCGCGGTTGACTACGTGGAGTCCAGCGACATAGCCATTATGCTAACTGCTGGTTCCCTACAATGCTTGCTTTTAAACTATACTTAAAGCCCCCATCCAAATGAAGAACCTAGGGCACAAAATTCTGAAAACAGTATACAGTCACTCCTGTATTCTTTTCCATTTTACTCCCCAAACCCTCAAAAATAAATAAATTACACTTCAGATCAGATTTATTACAGGTGACCCCCCCACCCCCATAGGGCATGAGCACCTGCTAGAGACAGAGAGGGGGAAAGTGAGAAATCACCCCCCAGAGGGGATGGGCACACTACATTCCCTTCTCCTCCACTCTCCTCTTGCCTTGCAAGATTTTCAAGCTGCCAGTTCTGGGACTCCACCAGGGTTGGCCATGTGGGAATCCAGCGCCTTAAACACCATGACACCTGCTGGCTCCAGACACATTGAGGGTTCTTAAATAGAGCGATGGCTAGAAAAATGGTGCTTCATCCCTGCTGTAGTTTTTTTTTTGGGGGGCGGGGTGCAAGGAGTCATCAGCTAGAGTGGCCCTTGGCCACCCTTTACCGTCTGCACCGTGCCTGGCACATAGTAGGTGCTTAATAAATATGTCCGACCTTTGTGGGCATTGGGGACGGTGAGCGATAGAGGCTCCATCTGGGAACACGTACAGGAAATACATCACCCTGCCTGTAGTTCTCGGGTTCAGTTTACCGGCACTTCTCCCACTCCACTCTACCCTCTTGTAGCCTCTCATCCTAATTTTTGAGAGAGGGGTGGGTCTCCCCGCCCCAGCATCCTGAACTCTTTCCAGAGCTACATCTTATTCACGTGGAAGACAACTGTTCTGAACAAGCTGCCATTGTAAGAGGCAAACTAAATCCTGACCGCTCACTTACAGGCCTCTAACTTAAATCCCGGGGCCTTCCAGACTGCTGTCATTTAGTGGGTTAGCATTTTTTAGAACACCCCACTAGCCCTAGTAGCCTTCTACTTTGCATCCTCTCCTCCTGGGTTTAGGGACATTACTGGGTGGCCTGGAGGACCCCAGACAACTTGAGGGGATCCCGGGTCCGGGGAAGGAGTAAGGCAAGGAGGCGGGATCGGAGTGTTGGAGGCGGGGCCGCAGGATCCCAACGCTACCCAATCACAGGGCCAGGCGTC